CGATTTCATCAAGTCTCATTGGTACAAAACACCAATAATCAGGATTTGCATCTAGAAAACGTTGTAAAACAAATGAACAACGTGGTGAATGTTGATAGAGCCATAATCTATCATTCGCTTTTTTTCTAAAATAAATAAATAAATCAATAAATATGAAATAAAAAAGTTAATTACTCATCAGATTTAACTCCATGTGTAATATATTCACAATTTGTTTCACCAATTAAAAATTCACGAATAATTCGATTACCTTCTTCTTGATGATCTATAATTATTAGAGAGAAAAAGAGAGAGGGAGAGAGTAAAGAAAAATAAATAATCATAACATACTTGCTAATGTTATAGCAAATGGTAATTTGGATTGACCAACATAATCAAATTTACCACAAGGACAAGTTAAAACGTAGATAAAATTTGTTGTTTCACATGTCTTAAAATAAATAATGTATATGAGTGAATTGCAACTTTATTGTACCGTTGTATTCTTGAACGTAAAATTTCAATATCTCGAGTTCTACGCAACCAATCCTTGTGATTTTTTTACCATATGTTCTACTAAGATATCCTTACTACCACACAAAAAATTACGAAGTTATCTTGAGTCAGTCCTGAGATATTGGCTGCACAAGACTCAGAAGTTCGATATGTGCTGCCGGCTTTTGGATGAAAAGTCGTATGGTCAATTTCTTACTAGTCATTAGAATTTTGACAGTTGTTGAGATTTATAGTATATAGTATACACTTCTCGGATATAAGATTCATTCGTTCTTTCGACGTGTTTTTTATTATAGTTTTCTCGAAATACCATGCGTACAGACAACTCTCAATTTTCTGTCACGCGAGATTAGAACTCATTTTGCAACATAATGACCCGTCTAAAATTGGTCGGGTTAGTGTTAAATAAAAGGCAGTTGGTGCTATATAAAACCACTAATCACGATGAGAGAATAGTCCTATTTGTTGTTGAGAAAAAAAATAAAATGAAACTTAAAAATTCGGTTGTCACACAAAATGTCACGCGAGATTTCCATATTTGTGTGGGACATAGCTCTACTATACCAAGTCCGATTGCGACGAAACTCTGATCATTTTATCCATTCATTGTGCTCAACTATTGGTTAAAATATCAAAGTCAGAAGTTTTACCTATCGTGAGAAAGACGAAAAATACCGTCAATATGTCACGCGAGATTTTTAACAACAATGATGTCACGCGAAATTATTCATCCTTCAAACTTGAAAATGAGCTTAAGAAAACAAAGTAACTCATCAGATTACACATAGATACGACGAAAACTACAAATATTTTTTTATATATCTCGTAAAATTGTATACAAAATGTCTTCATATATATACGCGAAAAAGGCACATTACAGTGTATTTTATAGGATTTTAGAGATTTTCATATATCTCAGCAACAACGTTGGTGGTAGACGGGAAACTTTAGTCGTATTACTCTCTCACATAGCACTTTAAAATGCACTACTTATTACCTGAAAAATCAAAAGTTTTTTTTCGCCAATTTTTTTTCAAACGGTACAATAAAGTTGCAATTCACTCATATATACAAGTAACGCGCGTCGGAGCGACTCGCTTGACCCTCGACTGTGTGTGTGTACGTCTAAATACTGCTTTGTTTTACAAACATAATTTTGTTAATATTAAAAGTGTAGACGGATATGTGTTTAA